AGGGGAAAGAGATGCCAATAAAAGGGAGCTTTGCATAGTTGACAGTGAGTTGATTATGGCAAATGTCTGGAATGAGTTATGTGCTCAGAGTGTACCAGGAATTAGCTTGTTAGGTCATAAATCATTTGTACTCTAATGTTTCCAAGGAGGCAAAATCTGACAACTGCAGGTATTTTTATAGCCTGAGGCATCTGCAGTCTTTTCTGATAGAGTTTCCTCATTCCCAATTAGGTTGTGAGATATGCATAAACACCAAATTTTGCCCAGCTACAGCTGATCAGTTGAACTGTCAGGGCTCCCAGTCCTAGGATTTGCTCTCTCTTCACCAAAGTCCTCTGAAAGTTACCACGGCCTGGAGTGTTACCTTTCTGTTGGTGCAAAGAGAAAAGAAAGGAGAAGAGGAGTGGCACAGTATTGATGCCCAGTTAGGGTGGCCTCAGTATTGGTCTCCTGACAGTTGTCCATATTCTTGCTTTGATTGCTTAGTTATTCCCTTTTCCTCCCTCAGGCCTTCCTTTCCCTGGGGTCCAGGTTTCAATTTCCCTCCTTCCTTTTCTTCCTTTTCTTCTTGACGTCACCAAACAGTTATGCATGGGGGAATCATACAAATTGGGGCTTTATTCTTGCTTTCTCTCCCCAGTGCACATCTTCATGTAGTCTCTTTATTCACCTGCTCTATAGTACACTCATCCCCAACTCACACGACACCATTAGGGCTTGTGTCAAGCTCCTAACTGCAACTGGTCCCAGCTCATCTGGAGCATGCCTTCTTCAAAGGGTACTGACCTCTCCAACTCCCTATGCATGACGGTGTCCTCCAGGAGCCCCTGGTTTTCTGCTTGCAGCTGCTATGGTGGAAGTTCCAAGTGATGAGGCATTTCATGACTGTTACTGATACAGCAAATAAATCTATTATAAATGTTTGTCTAGTGAATATAAAAAGCAGCAGGGGATAAGGCATTTCATGACTGTTACTGATACAGCAAATAAATCTATTATAAATGTTTGTCTAGTGAATATAAAAAGCAGCAAGGGGATAAGCCACAGGTTTTACAAGGAAGCAGCAAGGACATTTCTGCCTTGATGTTAATGTCCCAATGCAGAATGATGACAAAAAGGTATCTGGAGTTCCTGCAGGCTACACTCCATTTTTGCCTTCAGCCACATTGTGGCAAGAAATGGAGATCCTGAAAGTCCTGAGATATCCTGCCTCCCCTCCTGTCACTACAGGGCTGAAGAGTAAGCAGAAATTGTAATCCTTCCTCCAGAAGCTCACACAAGAATCCACACCCTCTTTGCTTTGCTAAATATGGTAAAACATCGCAGTCACTTTTGGAGAAAGCAGAGGGTCAAGTGAACCTTTAAAATCCCATGTGGTCATCCCTTCCCATTACACTTGGTATTTTGGAAAATGTTCCTTTCCTGTATTCAGATTTTGCTGCCATGAGATTCTGCTAGAGATAAGTTAGATGGACTGCACTAGGCTAGACTGAGGGTTGATGGGTTTTTTAATAAAGATACTGAGCAGCATGCATATATCGTGCTGGTGGTGCTTTCGTCTTCTTGCCGACATGTTGTGTGCCTTTTTACCAGGTACCGAATGCACAAATCCAGAATGTACAGCCAGTGTGTCAGGATGCGGCATCTCTCTCAGGAGTTTGGGTGGCTTCAGATCACACCCCAGGAGTTTCTCTGTATGAAAGCCCTACTTCTCTTCAGTATTAGTGAGTATTGGCACCCTTCTCTCCAAAACTTATTGCTGGATATGTCCTGAATGTTTCTTTATAGAGGTGGTTCTGTAACCCTACCAGTTTAGGTACTCAAACACTCCAGATTGTGGTAATGAATGTTTCCCTTTCTGTTTCAAACTATCCCATTGTGGTGGGTTTAAGAGAGCCATCTTCAGAGAGAGAATCATGACCATGACAGTAAGGCCAGAAAAGGCGATGCAGTCCTGTCCTCTGCTGTTGCAGGCTAGGGAACTCCCTATGCAGTTCCCTAGCCTGTTGTAAAGTCCTGTCCTAGATGTTGACCTAGCTGTGCCCCTGGAGAGATTGTCTATCTGTTCAACCGTTCTTGCTAAATGGGCCTCCAAGTAGGAACCAGGTGAGCAGGAAAATCTGACCACAGCCTGTGCTGGGTCTGTCATGCTGCCTCTATTTTGTAACAATCAGAACATGAAACAAAAGCTATGTTGTATGGGGAAGCTCGCCCTTCCTCCAGCAAAGCTGAGGGAAAGATGCAATCCCTGTTGTTGTTGTACCTGGGTTAGCTATTTCCTCAGTTGTTACTGTTTCTTTGCCATGTCCCCATTACAGTTCCAGTGGATGGACTGAAGAATCAGAAGCTCTTTGATGAACTTCGAATGAACTACATAAAGGAACTAGATCGTATCATTGCTTACAAGAGAAAGAATCCCACGTCCTGCTCTCGGCGCTTCTACCAGCTCACCAAGGTCCTGGACTCCGTGCATCCTGTAAGAGAGGGCAACAGCATGGACGGATGCATGGAAGCATTAATAGTCTTTTTCTGTGGTGTCATAGAGTCTACTGGGGCTCTGGGATTTGGGGCTAGAGGAAATGTGGCAGATGCATACAAGTTTGTAAGGGACATAAGGAAATGGCCTCCTAACTGGTGGCCATGGAAATGACTGTGATGATGTAGAGAGTATTCTAACCCAAGATTTTGTTTCATGACATACTTCCTTTATTGGCAGTTTTGTAGTGCTCATCACTGTAGCCAAGGACTCAAAGACAAACAAATTATTGAGAGAGATCCTGGTTTTGTCCTAATGTCACTATTAATAAAAGAAGAAGAGGGAAAAACTTGCAGGAAACTGCATGCTCTACAGCACTGGTACCAGCAAGCTGGTTGATCACCTGAGATAACTAATCCAGATGAGTAGTTAGCTAGGCTCATTGTAGGGAAGCACAAGAGAGTACTGTAGATACAGTAAAACAGAGGTATGCATTTTAAGTAGATTTTGACAGTTTTCTGGTGCTTCTACTGTAGAAACAATACATCCAAGTTTTTCAAACTTTCCCTCATGTTACCTACTGTTTAACTCTCCATCACATGCTTAAAGAGGTTTTCTGAGGGAGATTTGAAGTGTACATTATGTTTACAGAACAGGAAAAAGATGACAGCTCTACTTGAGGAGTCAAAGCCAACTGCCATACTAACCGTGTAATTCCTCTTTCAAAAGTGTCAGCATCACCATGGAGCTCACTTCATCAGTGATGCTACATCAGTGGGTCTTTCCTGACTGGCACCTCATCACTGATAATAATAATTCTACTGTTGGGACTTAGTTAACAATATGAACTCAGGCTAATATAGGTTGCATCTTCTGAGGGCTATTTTAGTCTCTACAGGGAAAAGATAAGATAAAGAAATGATAGGTTAGCCATACTGAACGCACCTCTGTGAGTAAGAAAGCACCATTTTTATGTAGTTATTTTTCAAACAGAAACACCTCTTAGGCCTCTGTGTTCTTGTAATAAGAGCACTGCATTGCTCCGTCTGCTACACATGCAGCCCACAGCCTGGGTAGCTCACTTTTTCATTCTCAAGACAAACAACAGCCATTTGGCAGCTATTCCCAGACACCAAAAAGTTTGTAGTGTCCAGAGAGCAGAAACCCTGGCTTACAGTAGGTGAGCCAGGACTTCACTGTAGTACCTGTTAATGGTTTCTCTGTATTTTGCATAGTGTTAGCAGTGTGAAAAGAGCCACTTGATGGAGAAGATACATCATTCATTTGACCTTCCTTCCTCCTCCTTTCTCTTTCCTAGATTGCCAAGGAGCTGCATCAGTTTACATTTGACCTCTTAATTAAAGCGCACATGGTCAGCGTGGACTACCCTGAAATGATGGCTGAAATCATCTCTGTCCAGGTTCCCAAGATCCTGTCTGGAAAAGTCAAACCCATCTACTTCCATGCACAGTGATATTCTGGAGAGAGTCACATTGCGCTGCCATCCCCCTTATCAGCCATCTCCTGCCTGTTATCTCTGCACTACTGTACTGCAGTGCCTTGGGGAATCCCCTCTAAAGATACTCTTGGTGAGAAGATGTACAGTATCAAACTACTACCTGCTGGGATTCCTTTCATTTCTATTTTTTCCTGTGGTACCTCTGAACTGAACTACCTGCCATGGCTTCCGCCTGTGTTTGGATGGCTCTGTGTCTCTTTAAATGTTGTGACATATCATGACTATGTGACAGTGTCCAGTGGCACTTGTTTACAGTCTTTTGCTTGTGTATTTTCCATGGTGACATACCTGTGACCCAGTGCCATGTCAGTTTGGGAGAAATGCCACCCTTCATTCTCACTTTAAAACAAAACAAAGCAAGAAGCAAATGAAGCCTGTGCATTTATGGGAGAGGGTTATTTTCCTTATTCCCCAGGGTGTTTTCCTGTTTTTTATTTGCATTGTCTCTAAGAGACAGGTGAATTCAAATACAGTAGTAGTGAAACAGAGAGGTGTCAGGGGGGAAAGAGCACAACTTGCTGAGGTTATCAAATCTTTCTAAATCAGACAGCTGCTAGCTTGTGAATATTCAGTCCTGGTGCTGAAAATATGTATCTTGTCCTCTGCTCTGGCCATGTGTTCAGGCCCCAAACCCATGGTCTTTTCACAGCTGAGAGAAGCATTAAGTACTCACTTCTGTAAGGAATGCCCGATCTGGAGTGGAGGGCTGGAAAGGGTTGTGATCTTTGGAAACCTTCAAAGATTGCAAAGGGCTGTTTTCATCCAGGACATTTTTTTCTGAGGACTGGATTGAAGCCTGTCCAGTGAATGTCCAGATGTCTACCAATGTCACATTCCAGTTTTGAATTTTTTTTTCCCCTTTCCTCAGCTGTATCCAACTTTCATGAGTGCCTGAAGTCTCTTCACACCCCTGCCTCTGGCGTGCTCTCCTTGAATGTCTGGTGTCTCTACTTGTCTCTGGTTTCTCACTAGGGTTATCTGAAAGTCTAGATTTTTCTGGTTATGCTTTGCATTTGCCTTTTTTCTGAACTCTATTGCAGATTGTTTCGGACACCTACAGGCCAACATCACAGAAGCACAGAGCTCTGGTGCTTTGGACTATGTGAGGACGAGTGATCCTTTGTTGTCAATCCTGCTCCTTTTGGAAACAATTGTAACTGGCATGAAATTGCCATGAGATTTCCATAGTGTTTCAGGGAAATTGTAAGCAAATCACTTAAGAAACTCCTACTCCTCTTTTGAGGTGCACACAACTCCCCTGATGAGGATAGATCTTCACATAAGGGAGATCAAGGGAGTACACCCTGACCAATGACACAGTAAAGACAGCACTATCAAAACAAAACCCACAGACCATGCCTGAATTGATGACAGTGTTTCATCCTGCAGCAGAACCAGTGGAGGCAGAGAAACCTGCCTGGTGGACATGAATAATTATTCAAAACAAAACAAATCAGACACTCAGTTTCTTCGATACTGGCAACTTTCTGCAGTCGGGACTGTTTCAGAAAGGGACATCTGTTTTTTTCAAAGCAGGGTAACACTGACTTGAATCCTCCCGCTGGAAAGCTCTACTTGGTATTCCTGAGAAATTATTATTCTGCCCATGAATGTCATTCAGATTTATTGTTTAAGGCTGTACTGAACATGTAGGAATATAATTCTTCACCTTGATGTCTCACAGTTCCCTTCAGAGTCCTACTTTCCCTTGTCTCATGAGTCAAACAGAACAGCAAAAGTCCTGCTGTCAGGCCTGGTTAGTGATTTAAGCCTGTCCTATGGACTTCTGCTGGCATAACTATGTGGGTGATTGGTGTGAAGAGATGCTACCCTGATTGACATGGCGGTGCCTGAAAAAATTCCCAGTGTAGATGCACTTATACTTGCAAACCTGCACCTTTATTCATTGTGTTTTGCTCAGGGAGGTTATTTTACTACAACTGTTCAAAGCACAGGTTTGTTTGTATGGTCCTGTCCACATTAGAAGCGCTTTGCCAGTCTGGTATACGGGTATTCCTGTACCAAAAAAGTAAACCAAACAAAGACAGAGTCTTGGCTTTTGGAGGAGATGGATTTCCTGTGTGATAACAGCTGCTAACATTTGCCAAATAACCATTTAAACATGAGGGGAAGAAGGAGGTTTAGGCTTGTGGAACCCCATCAGTTCAACTCTCCCCCAGATCCATGGGTCTATTCCAACTGAATCCTGCCATGCAAAAGAAATCAACGCTATTCTTCTGCTCTTTGGGCCTTTCATGGATTGTGGCCAATGACTGTTCTTCTAGTCAGGCAGCCTCACGTGCTTCCTTGTGATGTGTTTTGGATCTGAACAGAGTAAATGTCAGCACAGCAGGTGGCCGCAGAGTTTCCCTGATTCTCTCCAGTTGTCCCATGCAGAGTTCTCTGAACAAAAAGTATGTTTACAGTGTTTTTGGATGAGTTTAACTCTCTTGTGACAGATTAATTTGATTGCATCCTTCCCCCTTTGCCCCTTCCGGAGAGTAATGAAACAGCAATGAGTTCTTTTTTAATGCTATTGAATATACTCTGCTATCGCGAATATTTGTTTTCATTGTTTTGGAGGGTTACAAAAAACTGAAATTTCATTGGAATCTACTGATTTTGAGAATGCACCAGTAAAAAAGCTCCGCATGTACTAGCTCCTGCCTTTCAGCACTGTGGATTTTCTGTTGAGTAACAAAAAAAAATACATTGAAGGTCTGAGTTGGCACAGCATTCTCATTCTGCTGTAAAACAGAAGGATGTTGAGAGTGGTGATAAACTCTTCCTTTAAAGAAAGCTTCTATTTTGCACTGCTCAAGTCAGTCCGAAGGTTTCACTTTTGTGTGCCACTCTGGAGTGTCAGTGGAGTGCTGGCAAGAGATCTAAAGTCGAACTGAACATTTACAGACAAACAGCCTTGTTTGGTGTTGGAACCACATAGATAATGGGGTAGGGATGGAGGAGGATACTGTCCATGTGTCATCTGCAAAATGTTTGCAATGTGTGGGTATAGTGCTTGTCAAACTATGTATCCTTTAGGAAAGAAATGTGCTCATTTGAATACCGCCTGTCCAATATTGTACATACATAGCTAGATTGCCTTTACTGAGGTGTACTAGTAGCTCCTGTGCCATTCAAGCTGTATTAGGGAAGGGTGGGGGGTGTTAAGTTTTATTCTGTAGCTCTTAAGTGTTCGGTAGGTTTCTGCCATTTTTTCCCCTAAATTGGAAAGTTGGATTTATTATGACATTACTGAAAGCATGACTGAGGGATCCAGTCAAAGAATGGGGATTGGCAACATGCTGATTTGGGTACCTCCAGGGTACACATCCAATACTGTCTTCAGCCACTGATACTATTTCCCTTTCTGTATCATCTCTGCGAGGGATCTGTCCAAACACTATCTAAGACTGTCTCCTTCAGTTTGCTTCAGGAACTGAAAAGGGCCTGAGAAGTGCAAAAGTGCTTCTGTTGCTATGTACCTTTGTAGTTCAGTTCTTATTTTGTATGCAAAGTAAGTTTGCATTCTTATTTCTATGTTTGCTTAAATAAAGCAAATGGAATCTCATAATCCATACGCTAATGTGGAAGTTTTCCTTAAGCATACTAAGCAGATCATTTAGCTTTTTGCTTTATCTCACTCCAGAAGTAGAGGAAGGCATTTGCTTACTTGGCATTGTTTTCCATAACATGGAAGCAAACATCTTGCAAGCCCCTCTCTAGTTACACTGACCTGAATTCTCCTTTCAGATACAATGACGCAGTTTCTTTTGGAGTTACATGCATGACCAGGCTGCACTAACTGCATATGGTCTTAACTTGGCAAGTACCCCAAAACTATACCACCCTGCCAAAGACCAGGGGAGTGTCATTTAGGATAACTGCTACAGAATCTCCAGTGTGTATTTTGAGCCAAATCCTGAGGATCTAACTCCCTTTTTGCTGAGTCCTTACACATAAAGCTCCCATTAACTACCTCTGAGTTTGCCTCAGTAGGGACTCACCAAAAACCCAAGAAGCTGATTCACTTCTTATTTACACAATTGTAAATCAAGAATGTCAAGAACCCAAGAAATGTTGAAAGCCAATAGGATTATGACGGTGTAAGTAAGTAGTAAATCAGGCTCCACAGAAGTGCCTTGGAATTTGGTTCCTCAAGTACATGCTGAGTAATTATCACATACTGGTAAATTCCCCATTACATACGTGTATAAGTGCATGCCCAGGGACTGTCCTGTTGCTCTGGTAATAGGTTGTAAGGAGGTTGCCATGTTCTGTATGTGAATGAATATGGCTTAGCTGATATTTAAACCTTGTGAGGTAATGTGCTACTTGCCTCCTGGCTCTACAGGCGTGAGCCTGAACCACAGCAAGAGATCCCAACAGTGTCATCTCGAAAGGACTAAATGTCCATGCACTGGGCACCTTATGACAGTAAGAGGTCTCCCCATTTTTACATACAATACATCTGTGACTGTCAATGTTGATCTCTCCCTTAAAGTGTAAAAGAGAAAATCAAAGAGAGAAAGATGTTACCCAAAATTTCTAGTCTGAATCCTTACTTAAAGGACATTTTTCACTCTCAGTGAGAGAGAGAAAGAGAGAGAGAGATTCTTCAGTAGATGGACCCTTAAGTCTGTGGATGTGTTAGTAGACACATTTATTTAATCTCTTTTTCTGATAGTTACTGACCAGGATTTAAAAGGTCCATTTTTACATAGTGTACACGAGCAGATGCTGGCATCCTTTATTCTGGTGTGACTGTTAGTTTGTCCAGGTCCCTTAAACCCTCCTGCTAGATGGGGATATTTACACTAGAAAAACACTAGAGAAAACCCCAACTTTCGCACTTTTGATAGCATAGAGATTTAATTCAACGCCTAGTGTTAAAATGCATAGTAAGCTGATATTTATTTTGTAGCCATGTTTCAAAATGGATTTACAGAGTAAGAGAAATGATGTTTCCTGTATTAGCTATTCCTCTAAACCCTCTCTGCACCTTCAGATGTGTCCAGTTAGTGACTGGTATTGTGCCTGGAAAGTACATTGGCAATTGCACTCAGTACATGTGAAAACTGGACTGCCTCCACTGGCCGGGTGCCGTCATCCAGGATGCAGCAACCTCAGCACTCTGCAGCCCTGAGAAGGTTTTGTGGGCACGATGTATTCAAACACTCTTAAGTTGAGAGGGCAAATGAGTAATTTGGAAATAACAAAGTATGGAAAGCGATATTCCATAACTGACTTGTGCAGACTAGTGCTAAAAACTCTTTGGACACTAAGAGTCCAAAGGACACTACCTTTCCTCATTTAGTTGTACTTATTTTGGAGAGAGGAATAATTTTTTCCATTGACTTTACTGGAGAGAGGAATAATTTTAGGAACACAGAATCCAACCCCTCCACGTAACACCCATCCATTCAGCCCAGTTTGACCTGTGCTCTAATCACTGCCTTGGAAGTGAGGATGGGCCTCCTGGGTCCTTCCCCTTTTGAAAGGGTAAGGAAGCCTACTCTTAGATGCCAAAGGTGCGTGCCTGTCCCTCACATAAAACCACAGCAAATGTATACTGAGCTGCTCTCCCTGGTATTTTGCATTATACTGTTGGGTCTTAGAGATGTTGTATAAAGACTGTGGCAAATTGACAGCTGTGTTTATTTCTTAATATTTCTTTAATTAAAGGTTCTCTATATAGATATATTTTTCTTTGTAATAATCCTAAACGTTTATTGCTGGTGCCTCTGTGCCGGTGTGGTCTCCCAATTCACAGCTCAGTGGGAGCAAGAAAGAATAGTCACTGCAATCTTTTGTCTCACTGTATGTGAGTAGGCTTATGAGGCAAACACATCTCTCATTCAGCGGGGCTACCAAAAGGAAGTGAATGGCAGCCCACAGCTTGGTTGGGCCAACTTTCAAATACAACATTGCCAATTTCTCACTAAATTTTCACCCATGTCATGCAATTCCAAGGACCTAGCAAGTCCTTGGGCTTCTGAGGCATGGCATCAAAGTCCTTTGTTCAGTCTCTGTCTGCCCGTGCTATTACTTTGCTAAGCTTTTCTTGTTCTCTGCCAGGTTTGCAGTTAAATGTACTGATATTTGCTACACATACAGAATTGCAATTTCTTTCAGACAGGGCATGCGTACACAAGACACTTCCAGCGCAGTAGCCTAATTCTACTGTGCATTAGTGTGGCGGGCAAAACCCGTGGTAATGCGCTAATGCTCAGTAGAATGATTCTACTGCGCATTAGCACCACCAAAAAAGTATGCACCGGCAGTAATGCACAGTAGTACCAATTGCCATGCATTCAGGTAGTACCTGTAACTACAGGTACTAAACTTAATGCATTGTAATTATGGCGCTTTAATGAACATGTAGATACACCCACAGTCCTTTTTAAATAGTGGTATTCTGGGGCCCTTATATTTATAGGTGTTAAGTGCTAAATTGCACTCCTTCAGAAGTCAATGGATTTTTTTTCCATTGACTTTACTGGAATGAGGACCTAGCCCTAAATACATTAAGAAAGAAAACAGACACCTATTATGTTAAGCATCGCTGAGATTTTGCCCAAAGATGACTTCTTGCAGTTTCAGCCCACAAAGATGTGGCTGAATATGCCTACCCAAAAGATCGGTGACTGAGAATTTACCATGCTAGGTCAAACATCATTTATTTTTGCTTGTACTTAACTAAAAAAGAAGCATTTTTGATACCAAGGATAAACAACCAACCAATCATAATACAGTATAGTTCATGCTTGAGTTCAGTGTGGGCACTCAGCCAACGCTGTACAGCAGGACAAACTTCACACTGTGGCGTTCAGCTCTCTTTTTGTAATCTTGAAATCTGTTGTTGTTCTAAATACAATAAAAGGCAGAACCTTGTTTGTTGGAACACTGGTGTGTCTGTGTATGTGTGTTTGGCTTTCATTTATTTCAGATGCACATTTGGAAAATGTCTTTTGGTGAAAAATATTTCTATTGGGCATGCCAAAAAAAAAAAAAATTGGCCATTTTTCCAGAGTTAAGGGTTTATGCTTGGGTTATTCTTAAAATCTGACTATGAAAAATAAATAGTCCCTTATCTTGATTGTTAATTCATTTATACGTGAAATGACTAATCTTTTCATACTAGTCTCTTCAGAGCTTTTAAACTGAATTTTATTAAATTAATGTATTGAATGAAATTAGGTGCTAAAAGAATGCCCAGTGTCCTTTTCCTGTTTTAGCTTCTCATGTGATTGTCACTGTTGTTAAATGACCACTAATTAGAAACCATTCTGCTCAGACTTCGTTATAAAATTGACCTGTGATCTCCAAGTAATACAAGACGTGTTTTTATCAGCCCAGTTCTTAATTCAAAGCAGAAAAGTGGACATTTGTATTTGTCCAGGCTTAAATTAGACAAACCAAAGTGCTTAAAAGCAAAACGACCTGTTTGTACACATATAACTGGGAATGACTACTGTGTATTTCCATAGCAATAACCACATATACCAATACCCTGAAAACTGAAAGGAAAATGTTCTTGTGGCTGAACAATACAAAAAACAGCTTGGAGCAGCGGGATAGTATTGTGCTTAGTCAGCTGTGGAGGATCTGGTTCCGAACCCTTATTTGAGTTGCAGCTAAAAAGGAACGCATTAGTAGTTTCAAACTTAACCTGTGCTTGACATTTGTTCATGCCAATCACCAAGCTAAGCTGTCAGTACAGAGAAAAGCCCAAGGCAGGAGTTGCTGAACCTCAGGGTGTTGGCAAAACTCTGAAAACCAGTGGCAACAGCAATAGGAGTAGAGGTGAACTGGCAGAGTGCATAGGGGATCTAGGACTGGAAGTCATCTGAGAGCCTACAAGTTGGATACTATGACAAGGCAAGTGCAGGGCAAGTCACTTAAGGAGCTACAGTGGAGAAGCTTGAGTGGTAGGAGCGCAGCTCAGAAAGCACATTGGACAAGCTGTAGAGCCAAATCGTGTCCATGCTTGTCCATGTAACTCCAAGCTGCAAGCCTGAAATCTTTCATTTTCCTACTGAAATTAATGTCCACAACCCTCACTAAGTGAACCTTCTTAACAATTAGCAATATATTCCTGAAATTTGACCTTGTGCCACATGTGAATGATGCTTTAAGAATGTTTCTTCCTTCCTTCAACCCCTAACATCTCGACCCAGTCAGTCCAGTCTTGGTATGGGATGTCCAGTCTTTGTAGGTCAAAGGATGTGGTCATTATGAGTGACCTAAACTTTCCTTAGGTCAAAGGATGTGGTCATCATGGGCGACCTAAACTTTCCAGACATCTGCTGGGAGGAGCAGTCAGCCAGGTCTGACTGCTCAAGTAGGTTCCTAGCTGAGATACAGGACCTCCATCTAACCCAGGAGGTGCACAGCCCCACCAGGGGAGATGCCTTGTTGGATCTGGTCTTGGCCATGGGCGACGACCTCATGTGGGGGCTGCGGGTGCTTGATCACCTGGGCGACAGCGATCATTGCCTGCTGAAATTCACCATCCAGCGCAAGGTGGCGAAGGCCTGCAGCAAGGCAGCAGCCCTGGACTTCAGCAGGGCGGACTTCAATGAGGTAAAGAGATCAGTTGGGGAGACACTGAGGTCCCGGGGGGCGAGTTGGGTGTCCAAGAAAAGTGGTCGTTCCTTAAGGAGACGATCCTCCAAGCCCAAAGGGAGGTAATCCCTACATGGATCAAAGGGGGCAAGAGGGTGCAAAGGCCCCCATGGCTCACCAAAAGCATCCAGAAACATCTCCAAGCTAAAAAGGAGGTGTACACCCATTGAAAGGGAGGGGCCATCACCAGAGAGGACTATGCCTCTTTCTGTTGCTCAGGGCTGCAGGGGGACGGTCAGGAAGGCCGAGGCGGAGAGGGAACTGGGACTAGCTACCCGGATCAAGGACAACAAGAAGTCCTTTTTTAAATACATAGAGGGTAAAAAGAAGGTACCGAGTAATGTGGGGCCTCTGCAAGACACGCTAGGAAATCTGGTCGTCGCACCAGACAGCAAAGCTAACCTATTTAACAATTTCTTTGCCTCCATTTTTCTGAGTAGGGACCTGGTCATCCCCCCTACTGGGACCCCTGTAGGCCCCATGGGAGGCACACCCAGGCCCAGGGTCAGCAAGGACCTAGTCAGGGAACTTCTGGAGGGACTGGACATATTTAAATCATCAGGTCCTGACGATCTCACCCCAGAGTGCTGTGGGAATTGCCAGAGGTCATTGCGTGCCACCCCTGGCACGGCTTTACAAGCACTCATGGTGCTCTGGCAATGTGCTGGAGGACTGTAAAAGGGCCAATGTGGTTCCCATTTTCAAAAAAGGGAGGAAGGGGGACCCAGGAAACTATAGGCCAGTTAGTCTTACCTCAATCCTGGGGAAGCTTTTTGAGAAAATTATCCTGGCGCATGTCCACAAGGGGCCAGCAGGGGAGACTATGCTTAGAGGCAACCAACATGGGTTCATTAGAGGCAGGTCCTGTCAGACCAACCTGGTGGCCTTCTATGACCAGGTCACCAAACCCCTGGATGCAGGTGTTGTGGTGGATATAGTCTTTCTGGACTTTAGGAACACCTTCGACACTCTCTCTCACCCCATTCTCATTAAAAAACTTGGAGACTCTGGTGTCGATGTCAGATGGGTCACTAACTGGCTGGAGGGTCGCACCCAGAGAGTGGTGGTGGACTGGTCTTATTCGACCTGGAGGGATGTGGGCAGTGGGGTTCCCCAGGACTTGGTCCTTGGGCATGCACTGTTCAACATCTTCATCAGTGACTTGGACGAGGGGGTAAAAAGCACCCTGTTCAAATTTGCAGATGACACTAAGATGTGGGGAGAAGTGGGCATGTTAGAAGGGAGGAATAGGCTGCAATCGGACCTAGACAGGTTACAGGGGTGGGCGGATGAGAACAGGATAGATATCAACACTGACAAGTGCAAGGTGCTGCACCTGGGGAGGAGGAACCAGCAGCATACCTACAGGCTGGGGAACTCCCTTCTCGTCAGTGCAGAGGTAGAAAAGGATCTTGGAGTCATCACTGAGGCCAATGTGAACATGGGCCGACAAAGTGGGGATGCGGTCAGGAAGGCCAACCGCACCTTGTCATGCATCCACAGATGCATCTCAAGCAGGGCCAAGGAGGTGATCCTCCCCCTCTATGCGACACTGGTCAGGCCGCAGTTGGAGTACTGCGTCCAGTTCTGGGCGCCGCACTTCAGGAGGGATGTGGACAGCATTGAGAA